ATTAGTGTGAGGTCTTTTGGGGAAGCCGATTGTCATCAAGGAGACTTAACTCCTTTTTCTTTTTGAAGTCCTTTGTTCGACATTCCAAAGTACGTCTCCCCTTAATCGAGGGATACTCTCTCCATTAGTGTGAGGTCTTTTGGGGAAGCCGATTGCCATCAAGGAGGCTTAACTCCTTTTTCTTTTTGAAGTCCTTTGTTCGACATTCCAAAGTACGCCTCCCCTTAATCGAGGCTCGACTTCTTTCGAGTCTTCGTCATTTTTTACTGCCTTCGAGGAGGCTTGACTCCTTTTCTTTTGGAGCCCTTTGTTCGACATTTGAGGATTTACCAATTTATTGTGAGACGTGACTCCTTTTCTTTTGGAGTCCTTTGTTCGATACCTTCGAGGAGGTGCTTGACTCCTTTTCTTTTGGAGTCCTTTGTTCGATACTTTCGAGGAGGCTTGACTCCTTTTCTTTTGTTGACTCCTTTTCTTTTGTTGACTCCTTTTCTTTTGGAGTCCTTTGTTCGATATTTGAGGATTTACCAATTTATTGTGGCACAACTGGCTCTGATACCATATTAGACGAACACGACTCTCCACAATTGTATGATATTGTCCAATTTGAGCATACCATGGCTTTGCTTTGAGCTTCTCCAAAAGGTCTCACACCAATGGAGAGTGTATTCTTTGATTATAAACCTATGACCATTCGCTAAATTAACCAACATGGGACACTTTCGTTCGTCACAAAATTACTAGGGGAAGTTAAGAGAGAAAAGTTGAGAGAGATCCTAGACCTTTTCAACATTAATCAAATCCAAACAATATGCTCAACACGTCAAGTCATGGTGCTTCAATGAGTATAACTTCACTAATAAAACGTAAAAGAACAAATTACAACAAATTACATTGAAATTTTTTCGGAAACTATAAGCTTGAATCTTTGAATACTTTGATACAATATGTGACAACGATAATTTGAATTACTTAATAAATGATGACTATAAAAGAGTCTGGTTTTTATTTCTTGAATCCGAACAGCGACTTTATGGCATTGATGGCATTCTCATTGATAAACGACTCATCAAACCTTTTCAGAAGAGTCTCAAATTCCTCCAATGTCCTCAAGTTTGATAGATCAGAATCCGTCCGAATTCTCTGGCAAACATTAAGAGCAATGATTTCACCAAAACTTCTCCATATATAATCGTCCAGGGCATGTAATAACTAAAAAAAACGAAGTGGCTGATACCTTGAAGTCTTCAAATCCTGCTGCCAAGGCGTCTTCAAGTGCGGATAGCCCAGCTTTTAACTGTTCGAAAAGTATAAAGGTACACTAATCAGTCATTCCCCATTTTGTGGAATTTTGGCCAGAAAGATACAAACATTTAGCAAACAAATGATGTTAGAGAAAGCATAATAACGTCGCATCTTAGTTTAAAATGTCTCAAAAGTCATTCCAAACGAACTCTATTACAAACGATTCTGTATAAACCATTACCTCATTTAGTTGGGAGTAACAGCATGCAACATTGTAACTGGCAACTGATGCTTCGTCTGGAGTTGGTTTGGATCCCAACACTGACTCAAATTTCTCTAATGCTTCCTCATATTTAGCGTTCCTTGAGGGAAAAGAACAAAAAGAAAGGCGGGGTTGGACATTGATGTGGACACAATTTAGTAAACAATAGAAGGGCAGGGCAAGTTGGATATGCAACATACTTGTACAGACGCAGTCCTTGGCGCAAGTCATCTTCTCTGCGCGCTTTCTGCTCCTTCAACCTCATGGCATTTTGCATCTGTAACAATTACACCTATAATATGCAAATAATACAGCAAACCTTTTCTAATGCATTTTTCTTCTTCATTCCGGTAGTTTTGTGCAATTATAGATGCCCAGCTGGTCGAACTCTTTAGAAGCGTAACGTGGATGGTTTTTCCTTTTTAGATAAGAAAATGAGGGCAGGGGAAAAAGTATGAACTGGGTGTCCATCAGAAGTCCACAACCAAGGAGATCAACCTTAGGTTCACTAAATACCCAATGCGAAAAAGTGATAACTATGATCATGTTCGATAACTATTTAGTTTTTTGTTTATGTTTTTAAAAATTAGGCTTTTTTTTTCACATTTTCTTTATAATAGTTTTGTCTTTCTTAACTAAACATTTGGATTCTCACTTAAATTTATAACTTCAATATAATATCATTAGCTGCTAGTAAATGTTCACTTACTTGAATTTCTCTCACTTTATTACTAACTACGCCCGAGTTTCTCTCTGCTCTGATTAACTCCTTTTCCGTCAACTCACCATAACCATCTGTCTTTCCTGAAAAACAATCACACACAATTTACAAAGATCATATTTATAGATAAAGATAAGAGAATGCTTATAATAAAACTCGGATTTATACAGGTCATCAGTCAATTTTAAGAAAAGTGATTTGTTAATATCCTTTGTACTTCTATTCGTTATTGATTTATTGAGTATGATTGATAACTGACCATATCTCTTCTCCATTTTCATGAGTAATGGACCAATTCTTTGCCGAATTGTATACATTGTCCTTCCGTATTCAGCAGCAGGCCATATTTCTGTCCCAAACACTGCACTGCATTGATGTAACTATTCTTTTATCATATCCCAACGATGGAAGAAAAGCTGCAAATGTTTCTACTAGGAATGTTCTTTACACATTTTCATACTAAGCCAAGTCATTCTTTTCTTTTCCCTTTCTCCTTTTAGTTTACTTTGGGAAAAAAAATGCACGACACGACAGCAACAAGACAAAAATTTTAAGCATACATCATATAATTCTCCTTTGAACAGTTGAGTGAATGACAATCTTAACCTGTGGGAAAAACACACGACAAATTTAAGAAGCCTAGATTTTTTTCTTTTTCTTTTCTCCATTTTACTTTTTAGCATGAATACACAAATCAACAAGAAGAAAATTTTTCAGTAATCATAATTGACCCTTATCTGAAGCAGTGGAGTCAATCATTATCCTGTTCTCTACTGTGTCACGAAAATTATTCATTAGATTTACTTGAACTTTTCAGCCTAAGCTTGAGTTGAGTGATCATTTCAAGCTGACAAGGGAGAGACAAGCAGATTAAGTGATTTAACATAGTAGCCATGGTTTGTACATGACAAAATTTGTTGTTATTGAACAGGTGATCATGCTATCTCGTTGTCTCATCCAGGCGCCATCTAGTATAAACTAATTTTAGACTACCAAAGAAAGCATCAATGACCCCTGCATCCACCATTCTAGAAAATCTTACAGAAAACGCAACAAAACCACGTCCTATCATTTTCATTTCACAATTCAAATTTCTAAACATGCTCGAATAAATAGATAGGTCAATCGTTGATGATCATAGTGAGCAAGATTTGCAGAGCATAGATAAGGAAAATGATACCTGGTAGCAATAACTTTATCCCCAACCGTGAACAATCCCGTCTTATCGGCAGCACCACCAGGTGCAATGGCGTCGATATAAGTTCCACCATCTCGTCCCTTAACAAATTTCAATCCATAAGGCTGCTCCAGTTCCACTTCATACTCTTCATAAGGTTGGTCAGCAACTGAATCAGCATCGGATGCTCTGACGACGAAATTTGAAGGTTTAAGTGAATGAAGGCTCGAAAAGGAGGTGGCGAAAGAGAGATGAAAATGAGAATTGGAGAGAAAGAGTTTGGGATGGGAGCAGCATAGTGGAAATGAAGAACAAAATTTGGGGAGTGGCTGAGAAGAAGAAAAAGAAGAAGAAGAAGAAGAACATAGATACAGAGTGGTGGGCGGAGCCAGAGACATTGTGGAATGGAATGCCCTAATTTCAGGCCACAGAGCTCAGAGGGGAGTTGGAGATAAACCCATTTCTTCTGCAACTGCAAGGCTGAGAGCGCGCTCTGTTCTGTTGTGGTTTTGGGAAGGAGGAGCCCCTCGGATTTCTCTGGTCCAAAATAACAGAACCGGATGAGCCTCTAATTACACCCAATAGGATCCTGCCACGTAGCCACCTTCTTTTATTTATTTTTATTTTTGTTATTATTATTCTGGTTTTAGGATTTTCGTCTATGGTCCATAAATATTTGGTTTATGGAAGTTTTAAAATTCATATTTTTAGTGGTCATAATATGTTAAAACTTTAATAATTTGGTTAAAACCCGAGTAATCATTGTAGTACTGGTACGGCGGATGATAGTGATTCGAGTTTATTTATCTCAAAAAATATATATTTAGGAAGATAAGATTACGGTGTAAATGGAGGAAGTCTAGTTATTTTGTAGTAGTGCAACTTTCTCGGGTGACCATTTTCTTCTGTCATTGTTTGGTGTCAAAAAATGTACTTTATATGCAAACTTTAGTCCAATCATTTGTTTTTGGAAACGATTGCTCATTCTACCGAGACAATATCATGGCAGTGCACAATTTACGACTATGATTACTCCATTCAAATTATATACAAACCAAGAATGGACAGGTTCCAGAGTTCAATCTGGTTCAGGAGCTTTCGAGGACCCATTGGTCAAAAGAAAGGGTAGGTCTTGATGCCGAGACGGAGCCGTATGAGGCGGGGCGAAGCAACAACCGCTCGTCGGGCCTGATAGATGGTGGTATCACACCCTTCTCAAAAGGAAAACAATTTGTTATTCTTCCAATCCACTATAGCCATCCATTAGCAAAATCAAAATTATCACGTCAAAAAGGTATAATCAACGTATTAACCGTCACATCAACATTCCCAATCAAGTTAACTATCAACTAATGACATAATTTAAAATAATTTGCGGATAGCAAAGTTGAACTAAATTCACTCTATCTTAGTGGATAAGGCATGTTTCATTTAATCTCCTAGATAATTATTGAAATAAAAAGAATCAAATATACACAACTCTAAAAAAAATTTGTTTTTTAAAATGTTAGAGATTCAAATCACCCAAAATGTTCTTTCAAAAACGATGTCACCCGACACTTATAAATATAAAGAAGTCGATATTTGTAAAACAATGGTACAAATTATCAGCTACGAGGGCTATATATATTAATTACGAAAATTGCAAATACATAATATATTGCTAACTTGCAATTACTTAGACAACTTTGAACATCCGCTAGAAGCTAAAGAGAGGCAATTCGGGGTTGGCATTATGAATCTTCTACCGAGTTGAGCTAAAAAAACGATGAGAAAATGGACAAAGTGGCGCAGAAAATTAACACACCTGTTCTAAGTTGCATTAAATTAGGAAGAAAGGAATGAATGCATTTGATTGAGCTACTATAACCTTGAAATCTTTCAGTCTGCTTTCTTCAAGTTCAAGCAGTTATCTGCAACTTGGCTGAAAAGCTCCTGAACCTGTTTTAATTCCTTCTCTGCAACAAACAATTCCCAATTCCATTAAGAATGTTAGATTGTGTAGCGGTGGCCAAATATCAGTAGTATGTTCAATAGAACAGAGAGAACACGAGAAATTTCGCACTTATGACGAGTTGGTCAAACCCCAAACGAAACCATACAGTAAAATTTCCAATAGGAAGTCATTCTTGGTGGGCCCATAATTTGAAACTGGGCATGTTGTAAATATACACAGGTTAACGAAGAAAACGAGATAATACCTGCTGCTTCTAGCTGCTTTTGAAGTTCTTGACCTACAGCATCGTTCTCGGCCTGGATAATAAGTTTCGAACGTCATGAGAACTAAACAATACAGGAATTCTTGGTCTTATATCAACATTAGAATATGAGAAGGCTTATTATACCTGTAGTTCTGCAATCCTTTTCAACTGCTCTTCTTCACCTCCATCAGATAGAGGCAATGCTGCAACTAATACATCAAACTGTGCCAAAAGATAATAACAACAATAGTTTCAAGAACGGCACATATGTTCAATTGGATTATATATAAATGAAGCATGGTCTCAACCCTTTCTTTTGTACAGAAAGCTAATAGTATACCAGTTTGAGAGGAGAGAGTAAAAAAGGAAAAGAAAATGAGAGAAGGAATGGAACAATCTGGCTCCTTGTAGAATCACATCTAGAAGGCACTAAAATGCCACCAGAACTGGAAAACATCCAAACATTTCTATTACCCAAGAACTAAACTGGGATTTTCTCAAACATAATGTGGACAGACTCGTCGATTTTATAAATTCTACATACTCCATGGGAAAAACTGTTGAAGAGAACAAACCTTAATTCATTGCTACTTTCAACTCCATTGCTTACGAAAATCAAAATCTCTCAGCAAAATTTTCTAAATAAAAAAAAGATCCAGATTTTAGTCAAATACAGGGTTGAATAGCAGATTTCAAAAATATGAACACGCTTAATAGCTCTTAAAAGTGGGGCTAAAACATATATACAGTTAAAAGTAAAGAATAATTAGAAAAGTTTTCCGTAAGACTTTGGCTTATTGCTGATCTAAAACACCATATTTGCCCAAGTAGTATCTGAGGTTGGAAGGCAAAAGTAAATTGAAGTTTCCAATACCAAATTTGCTTCCTTTGATGGATATACAATAAATCATAGCATTAGAACTAGTATGCATCTCAGACAAGTATCGGGAGATCTGTTGCTTTGATATATTACAACCCCATAAAAAACGCAATAGAAGTTATGAGCGGCTGTAAAGTAGGAAATCACAGTCCTGTTTCATCCTCAGACAACACAAGTTCAGACTTGGCATTAACTAGATCTAACAAACGAGCATTTGAGGGTGAATGAAATGCATCTCTTTCAATCTCATCACAAAGGAGCTTCGAGTAGACAGTTGTTTCTCAATTACTTATCCAGTGGATAGAAAGCATGTAAAGTTAATCAATCTAGGATACTGACATTTGGAAAAAAAAAAAATGGCAATCTAACATCTCCCCAAAAGGAAGAAGAAAATACTTTCTTGATGTTTCGACCCATGAAAAAGTAAATAACAAGAGGCATATGCATCACATTCATATTTTCCACCCCAAAAGTACAAGAACCAATGAACTACACACTTAGCATGAACAACGGCAAACACAATCCTGCAAAATAAAAATCACACCTGCTTAGCGGCTTTCACCAAAGCAGCACTCATTAGCTTGGGCTGCTCTGCGAAGTTTGCACTGTCCTCTGTAGGTTCGTGAGGCGGAGGTTCGGGGTAATTAGGAGATAAACGAACTGGAGGAGCATCTCTCTGCAATGTCCCAAAAGTATTGAAAGCTAAAGCAGCAATTGTATTGACTTGTTCCTGTAGTTGGGAAATAATGTCCATTTCGAACCTTATCCCCCAGAAGAATTGTCCAGAAAATGATGAGAACCAATAAACACATCAAGACAATTAAAATCAACAAATCACATTTAGGAACTGACTGAGTGGGAGTCCAACCTATTTCTTCCAATATAATCCAAAAAAAAAAAATTCTGAAATAGCATAAAAAACTCAGTAAGGAAAGTTTATACTTGTAAGAAGACTTCACATGCGACTTTAATTGCTGAGAGACAACGTTGTAGAAGAAAAACAACCAATTCAATAAAAAATTCTGAAATAGCATAAAAAACTCAGTAAGGAAAGTTTATACCTCGAAACTTAGTTTCTCAATTTAATTTATTACAATTGAAGAGACTAGGAGTGAGTCAATAGGTTCGCAGGTTCTAATTTGGATCTTGTGTCTGGTTGCTCTGTTGAGGATTATTGGGAGTGAGTCCCACATTGACTAATTTAGGGAATGATCATGGGTTTATAAGTGAGGAATACTATCTCCATTGGTATGAGGCCTTTTGGAGTAGCCCAAAGCAAAGCCATGAGAGCTTATGCTCAAAGTGGACAATATCATACCATTGTGGAGAGTCATGATTCCTAACATGCTCAAGTAAATGATGAAATCACGTCAAATATATGGAACCAGTATTAGAGGATCGAAATCAAAATTGTAATGACGTGCTTGTAAGATGTTAGATCTGTTTATCATTAATGGATAAACCAATTCCAATTCTCACAAAACTGAGCTCACTGAAAACCTTGAAGAGCAGCCAAGTTGGATTATGCCAACGAAAAAAGTATCAGTGCCGTACCAATACCGGAATAATCTATACTATATAGGAGAATCGTTAGTTCCCTTCCTATTTTACTCTATGCATTTTCTAAAACTTTTTATGGCAATTACATGAAGTACAAAGCATATAGATGTCTTTTATTTCCAGTAAATTAAAAGTATGTTGGGTGATTGATTGATGTGAGGGAGGAGAATTTCAACTTTAAAAAAAGATTCATTGTTATCTGCCAACTATAATCTCCAAATCTACAGCTACAAGTATGGTTGAAAGTTGTTGGTCGATCAAAATAGCTCCGCCAAGCTAGGGATTAAAAAAGAATTGGATAATACAATAACTTACTGATTCTCTCCTACACAAAGAAATAATTATGCTGAACATTTCATTGTCGCAGAAACAAGAGAGATGTACAGATGATCAAGCCTCAGTAGACATACTCAACGAATCTAAAGGCAAAGCACGCCGCAGTTCGTCTATTGTCATTTCAAAAAATCAAAACAACTCCATTTTTTCCCTTGTACAATTCCTAATTTGAGTTTTTCAAGCGAGAAAAAAGGCAGAGATGGAGAAAGGGAGAATATCGGTAACATCAGAAGAGTATAAAATCAGTGCAAACCTGAGGGAGGCTGCGGCGGCAGCACTGACCAGAGAGAGGCGGCGGCGACAAGGACCGGACAGAAGCGGTGGCGACACTGAAGGGCTGAAAGGGAGTGGGAGACGACGTGACCGGGCGGAGCACGAGAGAGTAAAATGAACGTGGAAAGGGTTTATGTATATATTTTATTTATTTATTTATTATTATTGTTATTTTCTAATTTTACGGAGTGGGCTGAATTATTGTACTGGAGATCGAATTAAACCTTAAATTTTTATTTTTTTTTATTATATATACATTTTGACCTAATTTCAGTTTATTTTATCTAATTAAACCTTAAAATAAAATAAAAACATTTATTAATTAGTAACCGGTGATAGCCGGTAAAATAAAAAAACACATCCAAGTTGTACTTTATTACACTTAATTAAATATTCTATTGTAATAATTATCTTATATATATTATATAAAATTTTAATTATTTAACCAATAATTTATTACAATTATATAAGATTTAGATAATATTTCATATAAAATAATTTAGTCTACATAAAAGATATTATCATTTTTGAAATATGTGCGAGTACTTATTTACCATTAAAAATTTATATAATTCTGTACAAATATTTTTGGGTTTTCCCTGACTCACCACTAGTAGATATTGTCTTCTTTGGACTATCCCGTTTTGTTCTCCTCCCTGAAACATCACAATCCACCCCATTTGGACCTAGGGTCCTTACTAGCTTTGTTCTCCTCACCCGTGGGACATCACAATCCACCCCCTTTGGGCTCAGGGTTCTCGCTGACACTCTTTGCTTTCTCCTCCCCAACTAATGTGGGACGTCACAATCCACATTATGCCCAAAGTCCTCGCTAACACTCTTTCCTTTCTCCAGTCGATGTGGGACCCCTGCCAAATCTACCCCTATTGGGGCCAGCGTCCTTACTGGCACACCGTCACGTGTCTACCCCATTTGGGGAACAGCCTCCTCGGCACATAGTTCGGTGTCTGGCTCTGATACCATTTGTAACGACCCAAGCCCACCGCTAGCAGATATTGTCCTCTTTGGACTTTCCCTTTCGGACTTCCCCTCAAGGCTTAAAAACGCATCTGTTAGGAGAAGATTTACACATCCTTTCAAAGAGTGTTTTGTTCTCCTCCTCTACCAACGTGGGACGTCACAATAACACATACACGTACAAATTAAATTAGTTAAATTATTTTAATAATCTAACTTAATAAAATTTAAAATAATTGAAAAATACTAATTATTTATATGAAAATTTGATAATATTTGACGATTTTATATTTTAAAGTTGTACGTTTGGAAGCATAAATGAGGTATTTTTCTGTAAAAAGAATAAAGGAAAAAGAAAAAAACTTTGGTCAGAGTTTGATAAAATTTGATGAATTTTTGGGATTCTTGCCGCATTCGTTGAACACTGGGGGGGGCGAGAGGTTGCGGTAAACATTCGGAACGGGGAAGAACACTGGACAAATCAGACACTTGCTCTCTTCTCTGATCGGCAGATACAAAATGATGAAGCAATGGGGAGGCACAGATTCAGAATCTGTTGCAACCTTATGGACATTGTGCGCGGCTCTGGCTTTTGCGATAGCTCCAATCGTTGGATCAGTTTCATCATCAAATCACCAGTTTCGTGGAATTTCTCCCCAAGGTTTTTTTTCTTTCCATATCTGCCCCAATCTTGTCAAATCTTCAATTCATCGTTTGTTTATTTGTAGCTTTCGAAGTATTTATGGACACTGAGAATTAGTACCAAATTTATAAAAAAATGTAGATGTGATGTATTACAAATCGTCCGACGTGATCAAATGTAGAGACGGTTCCAACAAATTTACCAAGGCTCAGCTTAACGATAACTACTGCGATTGCCCTGATGGCACTGACGAACCTGGTATGGATTCCGCTCCCCCATCTCACTGCATTTTCTTCTGTTTTTTTCAACTCATCGAGCCTTAATTTGCCTCAATCTTATTGGTCTTTAGTATTTACTAGCATCTGTGCGGGTTTGTGGGTCGTTATAGAAACTGCTATTGTTGATTCCAGGCGATTCTCAATGTATTGTGACTCACTAATATCTACGTTAGCAATTAGGGAGTGCAGTTGTTATTATTCTTGACTGTATGTATTTTGACGATTTTTTTTTTCACTCTTGATCTAAAATCCAGTATAAATTTTTGCGAAGAAGCCAAAATATGGCCAAAATATGATTCGGATTCGCAGTTGGGTGTCGCTTTGGTTTCATAACTTGTTGTCAAATTTTTTCTTCAGTTGAGTTTGTTAACTTGGCTCCGTTTGATGTGAGCTGGTTTTTTGTATTGTCGGTTGTATATCCTTTCATTTTGCTCTACAAACCTTTGATTCTTCCGTAAAAAAAGGTCTGAAATTGTTTCAACATTTCACGTGTATTGATAACATACTTTTCATGGCTGCAGGCACATCCGCATGCCCAAATGGAAAGTTCTATTGTCGAAATGCTGGGCACGTTCCACTTTTGCTATTTTCTTCAAGGGTGAACGACGGTATATGTGGTAAGTTTTTTTTTGGATGGGGAAATTCTGACATTCTCTCTCCATTTTGTACCCTTTAATCCTTCTAGACTTCTAATGTCTATTACTGTATTAAGCCAGTGCGTGGACATACATGGCTAAAATTTAAACTCTTACTAGAAACTTAAATGATTTAGAAGTTCAGGAGTGGATATGCTTATGGATAGCCCTGCAGATTTTATTCTAGGTTTGAATGAAATAGGGTCCTGGATGTGTAATTTTTCAGGTTTTGTTAGCTGCAAATCCCTTCTGAGTTATGACACTACAGTAGAACACACAATCGTAGACAGCCTAAACTTCTTGGGGTGAACAATTTAAAGCTACTATCATCATTTGAGTTCTTTTAATATCATGTATTATAGGGTGAAGAACTGGTGCCAATCTTGAACATGGTGATCTTGAAGCTTGTTGTAACTTTGTTCATCCTTAGGTTTTTTCTCATCGATTATTTCACTCTTTTAATAAAATTGGCCTTCTATACTACCCCCAAACCTACGTACTCATGCAGAAGTTGTGAACATAGAAAGTCAAGGAATTAGAGGGGAGAATATTTAAGCTATATTTTCTTATAATGTATTTCAATCTTCTGTCGGTTGACAATTTCACGAGATACATGATTTTCTCATTTTTTATATTATTTTGATTTTATTTGACCCTATTTTGTATTTGTTTTTATCTGTCAATTACTTGCAGATTGTTGTGATGGAAGTGATGAATATGACAACAAAGTCAAATGCCCAAATACATGCTGGGAAGCTGGGAAAGTGGCTAGAGATAAGTTGAAGAAAAAGATTGCCACCCTTGAAGAAGGTTTTAAAATTCGTAAAGTAGAAGTTGAACATGCGAAAGTCGCAATAACTAAGGATGAGGCAGAGCTATTGAAGTTGCAAAACGAGGAAAAAGTATTAAAAGGGCTCGTGGAACAACTTCAAGGTCTAGTCTTGTATAGTCATGCATTATTTTGCGATCTTGTTTTTCCATTATAATTTATTTTCATCACCTCATGGAAAGCCTCTTAATATTTTAAATTTTCATTGTTGCCTATTGGGAGTTTGGTTTATTTATTGGGTGTATATATATTGACAAGAAAACACGTTCATTGATTCCAAAAAATCAAGTCCTCAAAAAGAACCTGACTGAAAGGATTCCAACTGAGTAAAATAAGACCAAGTGGGTAATTACAAAAGATCTTAGAAAGTGACGCCCAAAGAGAAAAATAGAATTTTTCAGTGGACGAACTCTCATTATGGATTCTCTAAAGATTATATTATTCCTCTCATCCCACAAACCACATAAAATTGCACAAATCCCCATCTGTCACAGAAAACCTTTCATTCTCGTGGAAAGGTGAATGGAGAAAAGATTTCTCAATCATCTTGCCTCTATGTGCAGCCTCATAGATATATATGATGTCTCACATAGATGAGTAACGGGAATACTGCAACTTTCTATCAGTGAGATAGGCACAATGCTTGGTTGTCATTTTTGTATTTTAAAACTTGAGGCCACAAAATTTTCTTTTTTCATTTACAATATATTCATTATAGTCTTTTTCTATCGCGTTTATGCTTTTCTTAGAATGTAAGGACAAAATGTTGAAACCAGTGAAAAGGATATGCCAATGAATGGTTAATCTTAATTTTTACTATAAGCATCTTGGCATCTTGGAAGGTTCATGTCAATGGGTATTCCTACATATAATTTTTAAGTGATTATTTCTGTTTCTTAAATGCTCCTTTATTCTTTTATATCTTATGGTGATTTAATTGAACCTGCATTGTGTGGTATGTAGAGCGCAAAGAACAAATAGAGAAGTTAGAAGAAGAGGAGCGATTATGGAAAGAGAAAGAAGAGAAGAAACATTTGGAGAGAGAAAAAGAGGAGACTAAAAAAATTGAATCGACAGAAACAGCAGATGTTGGGGAAAGCAAAACTGAAGAGAAAGACAATTCGGTAAAAGATGAAGCTACAGAAAATGGTGCCGAGGAATATAAAGGAGAAGGCAATGGAGATGATAGAAGTGGGAACTGGGAGGACTCTGCAACAAATGAGGTTAGACTCGTTTGTTTATTTTGAACCTTTGGACATCACCAATCTTCAACATCATTGTTTTGGCATATTATATGGCATTCCTACTATTTTTTCTCTTCTTCAACATATTTTGTAAATTATTGTAGCACATATTTTTTCTGATTGGTAATCTCCCATAGCCACAGTCTTTATGTTTTCTTACTCTATCTTTACCCTAAGTTAAATATTGTTAGATTCCAAATTCTTGTGGTTAGTCTCGTTGAGGTTTATAGTTGCTATCTGAGAGAAGCTATCACAAAATTGTATATGAGAAGGAGAGGCTTTATCACTAATATTCGAGCAGGTGTTTCCTCTTTCCCAAGCCTTAGTTTGTATCTTTTTGTGCTCTATCACTAATATTCCCTCTTATAAACGATGAACTGTCTCTCCACCTGCTTTCTGCTTCCCTCACCTTCCCTGACTGTGCTTGCTTTAATCTTCTCCAACAACACCTTTTATGGCCTTTACATGTCATCCTCGATCTGCCTCAATTGAGAGAGAAATATACCATTGAAATGGACTCCATATACAGGGATGGAGAGTGAAAATTTTGAGATAACTAAGGACAGAGTCTTCTTCATTTCCATCCACCGATCCCCTCTTAAATGGCTCATTGGAACTTTCTCTAACCTTCACACAACCTTCTTAAACCAGAAGCTTTTTGAGGAATTTTGCATTGATGAACGAACTCTCCGGGTAGGGAAAAAAATTGCAAATACAAAAGGAACATTAGCAAAGATTGAAAGTTGGAAACAATTGGTGTTTTGTGAATTACCTGGTGCTTCTTCCGTGAGATTTCCTTTCATCTTAATCATATCACAAGAAAACTATCAGACCTTATCTCTCATGTTAACTATGACAACCCATCCACCAAGCAGAATTTGTATGGGTTGATAATCTCTTCATGATTATTCCTTCTTGGAACATAAGGGGGTTTAGATCATGGCAAAAGCGTGCTCTCATCAAATCCCACATTCTCAAGCACAACCCAACAATAATCATCTTACATACAGGAAATCAAGCTGGATAAGGTGGATAGATTTATCATCAAATGTCTATGGAGCTCTAGGAATATTGGATGAACTGCTTTGGAAGCATATGGCTCCTCGGGTAGAAGTAGAATCATTATAATGTGGCGTGACCCATCTCTTTTATTGGTGGGCCCAAATTTTGGTTGATAATGTTCTATGATCCTTCCATAGCTAGAGAAAGATCTCACTTTGACAAGAATTGAATGATCTTCCTCTCTCTACTTGGATTGCGGGTTGTTCGGGGGACATTTTAACGTATTCAGATTTTTAACTCTTTCATTGAGCAAGCAGCGATTACTGATTTAACTCTAATAAATGGTCTTTACACTTGTTAAAATTTTCGTGATCCCCCATCTTTACTCTTACAGACCATTTCCTTGTTTCACAGAAAGTATTTAAGAATCCTGATGGTGTAGTGGTTAAAAGACTTGAAAAATATAATTTCTCTATCCTCTTATCCATTGGCATTGATAAGTGGGGTCCCACCCACTTTTGGTTTGAAAATATGTGGTTAGAACACCAAAGTTTCTTCGCTCGTATGGAATATTGGTGGAAAGATAATCCCTTCTGAGGCTGGTCAGGTCATGGTTTCATTAAGGAACTCAAGGGACTGGAAGCTGTCATTTGAGAGTGGAATTAAGAACATTGCTAAACCAGCTAGGGGAAGTCCAATAAAAAATGATGGGTGACGAAAACAGTAGGAGCTTTATTAGGTTTGCTTGCCCTTATTTGAATAGTAAATAGAAACCATTTTATTAATATGATCAGATGAATACAAAAGAAGATGTTATCTGTAAACAATTACAAAAAAAGTCCCAATGTGAAGACATTTTGCTCCCAGACATAGCTAAGAGAGATGTAGATTCAATAAATTACCCATCCAAAATCTGGATACAAAGGAACATGTAATAAAAATATGGCTTTGAGATTTAGCTTTATTTTTCCACAGATACACTGGTCAGGAGAAAGAGCCATGTAAGGCAAATTATCTACAGCCTTTCATGTGTGTTAATTGCCCAGTGGGGGAGCTCCAAAGAATTCATTACTTTCGGCTAATTTCCATCCCACCTAGCATCTATAAATAATAGGGAGCCTTCCTCCTTGGATATATCAAACCTTTTTTGCAGAAGGGACTTTGTGGAGAAGACATCATGCTTGGCCTTGGGACACTCCCTAGAGATCCAAAAGTTATTCTCCAATCCCTTTCTCTTGGGCCATCACTTCAAAAATGAGAAAGAGTTCCTTTGGAAGAACATTGTCCAGGTCTTCCTTTGGTCTATATGGTTGGAAAGAAATTAGAGGCTTTTTGGTACTAAGGAATGTGCTTTTGTTAGTTTTTATTAGAATGTTTTTTTACCTAGCTTTTTCTTCGTGTAATTGAATTTATCTTCCAATTTTATAGTTTTGCCTCTAGAGAAGCTTATTGCAACTCCTAGTTCTCAATTTGGCATCTTTTTTTTTTTGCAGGGTAGAGTGGAAGAAGCAGTTGACTCAGAATTTGAAGCTCAGCTTCCTAATAAACCGGAAACAGGAGCATCAATGCCGAAAGACATAGAAGAGGTGAAATTGAAATGTTATGAATTTTTAATCTCGTGCTTATGTCCACCAGTTATTGGTGGTGCTTTATAACTGAACAATAAAAATTGATGTTTTTTCTCACTTTTAAATATATTTTGTTTTAGGATACAGCATTAGAGAAAGACAAACCCCTGGCTAAATCTGAAACTGGAGAAAGTGCCGGCTTTAGAGAATCATCTGAAGAAGTCCTGCAAAAGGTATTTATTTCAATATAACAGCACTCTCTTTCAGGAAACCTTATTGAAGTTTGAGATCATTTGATAAAACCTGGCTTGCTGTGTTGCTTTACTAAATTTATTGTATGGCATTAGATGACTAAGAAGAAACATGATGGTTTGATTGAATAGTGGTATAATTTGGTAAAAAAGCGGAGAAAGATCTTCAGACGGCTGAACCTTTGTGTGGAAACTTTTCACATTTTTCATACTTGATTTTTCACTATATATGGATAGTCTTAGTATCGTTACCAAGAGTGCACCTAAACTTATTATTTGCAAGTTGGTATTTTTACGAACATGTTCCGTTGATACTCCATTGAAATGCCAACTACAAAGTGTGCCATGATGTAATTTTGTCATCTTTATGCTGCAAGCAAAAAGAATTATCCTATGAAACCATGATTCCATTTTTCGCCCGTGATTTATCCATTGGCATTTTTAAAATGTGGCCCCTTGGGGCCAGGGTCAGGGATGGGGTTGACGGGGTTTGCTTGCTCAGGCTACTCTATTTTTGGGGCATGTGTTTAGGGACCATGGGCTTCCTTTAAATCAAAACCTATAGAGTTGAACAGTAACACTGTTCAACCCGTGGGTTACCTATTCTCTCTCTTTTTCTTTTTAATCTTTTTTTTATGTATATATTTTTAAAATTTTAAAATACTCTCTTTCTTTTTCTTTCATCCTTCCCTTCTCTTCCTTTCTTCTCGGTCAGACTCAATCCCAATAGCTCTCTCAATGACGAACTCTCCTAAAAAACCGGTGGCTTATATTTCTCTAGTAGTTGGTTTATAGCATTCTTTAGACCATATTGTGCATAATAGGCATGATGTCCTAAATAAAATTTTATCAACTAGGCGACCATTTGCTTTGACTGCCATCAAATTGTGGACCACCATTCAATGATAAAGAACATCAATCTTATATGAAATTTTCTGAATTGGATTTCATTTTACACCAATATAGTTCGTTAACATTTTTTTTAGTATAAAGAATCAAACTTACATTCACAACTTAAATGGCTTCTCCAACTTAAGTCCATTTGTTGTACTGTTCATTGAAATTCGATGATATTATGTTCCTGGTTTAATTGTATTTAATCTACATGAAATTTGTTGCAGAATGATGCTAATTCAGAGTTATCACGGGAAGAGTTGGGCCGCCTTGTTGCTTCTCGTTGGACCGGAGAAAATACTGAAGAACAGTCAGGGAATGCGGAAAGCACGAATGACAATGATGAAGAAAGTCATGATATCTTAAAAGACACACACGACAATGACGGTTATGCTTCAGACACTGATGGTGAGCACCAAAAATACGACGATGACAACCAAAGATATGATGATGATCTAGAGGATGATTTATATGATATCAGAGATGAAAATCATGATGAGTCTACTTCGTCAGAGAGATATTATTCAGATTCAGAATTGGACTCACCAGGTTGAAAAATAGGTTTCTCTTATCTAAGTTATTTTCATTTATAATATTGCTTTAGCTCCCTTCAGTTGTGAAATACTTCTCGTCTTTTATTTATTTGTTTCTATTTTATTTCTTTTTAAAACAATTTGTCTAGATATGGAAACCAAAAGTACCTCCACCTGGCTTGAGAAGATACAAAGAACCGTTCGAAATGTCCTCAAAGCTGTTCATATATTCCAGCCTCCAGTGAACCAATCAGGTACAAGCTTACAAGTTCATGGTGTTTGACACTTGATCGATGACTTTAGAGTTTAGCCACATGAAAAGGGTTATGTTGATTTTGCATTCATCAGATGCTGCAAACATTCGCAAGGAATATGATGAATCCAATGCCAGGTTATCAAAAATACAGTCAAGGATCTCAAGTTTATCACAGAAGCTGCAGAATGATTTTGGTTAGTATGAGATGCACCGTTTCCACGATTATAATGCAACATCAACTTAAAATATGCAAATACTAATTTAGTGATCTTCATTTCTATCCATTTGCAGGTCCAGAGAAGGAGTTCTATTCATTTTATGACCAATGTTTTGAAAGCAAGAAAAACAAGTAGCTAATTTTCCTTTCAGTTTCCTTATCTTTATAGGTTTTTTTCTTATGCTAGTTGAATTTTTATGTTCATCTGCTTAAATTCAAATCTTGGTTCCTTGTCCAGATACACTTACAAAATCTGCCCTTACAAACAAGCTTCACAAGTCGAGGGGCACTCGACAACTCGTTTGGGGTAGGCTTTTCGTAATTGTACCCTATATATTTATTGCGTTAAAGGAGTATAAAGTATACTAGTAAACCTAGTATTGGCTCTGCTCTTTTATTTTACTTCCTCTCACAGAAAATCTCAAGTTACTAGCGAACGTAGTATTATTATTAACTCTGCCCTTCTTTTCTTAACATGATTTGGTTCCAACCAGGCGCTGGAGTAAATTTGAGGACTCATATGGTGTTATGATCTTTTCAAGTGGGGATCATTGCTGGAATGGACCTGATAGAAGCTTGAAGGTGTCTTGCGAATAATTTTACTTGTTAAAAAAATTACTTGCCTGAATGAAGGACAAAATGGTTAAAAGTTACTTGCATATTTGGTTGATCTTCATGATTAAACTGGGCATAATAATTACTTCCTGATCATATGTTTGACAGAATTTTAGATGTATGATTATTTCTTGAAATCTATGGTCATCTATGCATTTCCTGTATTTTCAAGGCAAGGTTGCCCATGGAAAAGCAGGATCAACTTCCTTCTCTTGACATTCCATGTTTATTCTTCAGGTCAAGCTAAGATGTGGGCTTAAAAATGACATAACCGACGTAGACGAGCCAAGTCGTTGCGAGTAAGTCTCTCTCTCCCTCTCCCTCCCTCCCTCCCTTCCTCCCTCCCCCTCTCACTCTCTGATAACATACTGGGAATTTGTGACAGATACACGGCACTTCTATCAACCCCAGCCGCTTGTGTAGAGGAAAAACTTCAGGTTCCATTCATTATATTCCATATAGACAGTTCATTACAACTTTTGTTAGATAATTTTACTTGCTTTCCACGCTTACGGGACCCTCTTGAATGATCCATAGGAACTGAAAAACAAGCTGGAGATGCTGAATAAAGAAGAGCCAGAGAAGCATGATGAGCTTTGATAAGTTTACAGATCAAATTTTCAAAAGGTAAGTGGTTGAGTTAGATAGATGATGGTTCTATTTCTGTGGTGGTATTGAGCAAGAGAGAGTGAATGAAAAAGGTTGAAGTAGTTCTTCTTGCAGCCTAGAGAAAAGCTTTACCTAAAACAGAGGGCATAGTTTTGTTGTGGGTCGCACTAACTCTTATCTTCAGGCCATCATATCTTTTTTATGGACTAGTTTATACTCACATGCGGATTGTCCCAAATTATGATGAACTTTTATTATATATACATTATTTTCAATTTCTTTGATATTTGTACTTTAAATTGCTTTATCTAATTTTCTGTATTTTAATAATTTTTGTTTTCGAGTTGAAATTTAAACTAAAAAAATGGAGCAAAAATAAGCATAATTTTCTAAAATTGAAGACGAGAGGCTAACTCTTTTGATGTTAAAAAAGGTTCGAGTTTTTGTTTTTTGAAAGCTAAGCTTATAATTATGCATCCCGGTTTTTTTATTTGTTATATATTTTTTTAAAAACTTATTTTTGTTTTTGGAATTTGGTTAAAACTTCATGTGTTTCTATTATTATAAAGAAATGTGATAAAACAAACAAACGCTATTGGATCAAATGATAAAAACATTTTTGAAATGTTTGTTACTATCTTGGTTTAATTGAATAACTAAATAAAATAGATAGGCTCTTCTCTTTGCCTTAGGTCTAATTGTTTTGTTCCGAAGCAAACCACGGGCGATAGGCGTCTATTATTGAATTCACCTGACCCGATAGTACCCCAGTTTTGGAACATCCAGTACCAAAGTCACTGAATGGGTAAGTCGTCAATCTCTAAAACGGACTATGTAATGTACTTTATCTGCTGAAAGGAGACCCATAAATGGTGCCACAACATAGGTCATCGAAAGGATCTCGGGGATCCACTAAAACAAAAAAGCCAAAAAGCCATAATCTCTCAGAAAATGTATTCATGTTCGAAAAGTATATAATTACATAGCTAAGCTCACACAAACACGTAGGTACTATCAAATTCTAAAAGAACCAACCCAACGAGGAAGAACAATTATTAAGATGAGATTCAATAGATATTTTATATAATATAAATAATATTAATCAAATTAAAAGTTTTAATTAGGTTCCTTAATTAAACTTCATAAATTTCATTTATAATATTTAAATAATTTTTATTCGGAAGTATTAGGATTTAATGTGGAGTAAAAGTTAAAATATATATATATATATAGATGATTTCATAAATGCAAAATTGAAATTAATAAAAGCAATAAATTTGAAAATTTGTTAGTCAATGATATTTTATTATTTTTCTTTATAAGGAAAAAAAAAATAAAAAAATAACGAAGCTATGTGATGCGATGCGGTAGCGCCACGCCGTTTTACAGTTGACCTGAAAAAATCCCCACTGAGATTTACGAAACCTTCTCCTTCTTCCTCCCTCACCTTCCAACAATCAATTCGATCCAGACCTCCTCGATTTCTCCCGTCCGATCACCGATCCGCGTTTTCTTTTTCTCTCTTTCGTCTCTGTTCTACAGATTTTTTTGGATCTTCTTCTTCCTCGTTCGATCGTTTAATCCGATCCTCTCTTGACCGAATCCATAATCAACCACAAAAAATGGACGGATTAGTGATTGAGAAGAAGCCGAAGACTAAGATTGTCTGCACTTTGGGGCCGGCATCCAGGTCTGTGCCCATGGTCGAGAAGCTTTTGAAGGCTGGGATGAATGTTGCTCGTTTCAACTTCTCTCATGGATCCCACGAGTATCACCAGGAGACCCTTGACAATCTCCGCGCTGCGATGGAAAACACCGGTATTCTCTGCGCCGTCATGCTTGACACCAAGGTTTCTCTCAACCTTCGTTCTCATAACTCATCTCACTTTACTTGATTTGATCAAACCCTCGATTTCTTGCTTTTCGTTTCTGTATGTCTACCTTTCCCCTTTCTGATCCATATATTATCTGGAATTCGATCTCATCTCTTCCGAACTTTCCATTTCATTTTATTTATTTTCGAATTTTCACCTTTTTTTTTTCGTCCTTTGTCGCCTAGTTTTGGTTTTATTCTCGTCTGTCAGATATATTGGGCTTTTACTGGTTTTGATTTCGATGTTTCCAGCGAATCTAATTGGTTTCTTCTCCCTTTTGTATGATAAGTCTGTTTCCTTCTGCGAGTTTCCCAAAAAAAATGCTTAATTTGTCTGTACATACTTGGGAATAAGAAGATCAAATAGAATTTAGCGTACTTATGATCTGTGAATTTCACTCAGAAGTTAGGGTTTTTTTTTCCACTTTCTGTCATATTAAGCTAAATTACAAATCAGCACTTGTTTTACATATTGCAACACATTCTCAACAAGCCAATTACGGGGAGGGATTTTGTGCTTGCAGGATTCTGATCAGATGTGTTTTAATTATTCATTTATTTTCTACAAGTTGAATGAAGAAGTTGGTGTATTGTTTTTACTGAATGCGACTGATATTTTCCATTGTGACTCTGATTCTTACTAAATGTCCTCTGAAATTGTTCTTCCATTAATCCTCAGTTTTCACCTTCTGTTTAGCCATTATGATGATAGCTTCATTAACTTGGTACTGCTTGTTTATTTTGTCTGGATCTTTGTTACTTTCTAATTGCCTTTAATTTGAACACAATCAAGTTGATATTCTCGTATTTGTATTCCGTTGAGGGTAAATCATATTCTTGAATAGTTAGAGGCAGCACTTGAACTGCGAGTAATAATTTTGAGGTTTATTCCCAGTGATATTCACCATTGTTGCTCCTGTTTAGTTGTCTGAGCTTTCTTCAGAGCCAGGAACAAAGCCTTCCGGATTTCTGTTTCATCTCTTTTATTATTGATTTACAGTACGTAGGAAATTTGTTTTGTGACTTCATCCCACATTGGTTGGGGAGGAGAATGAAGCATTGTTTATAAAGGTGTGAAACCTATCCACATGTAGATGCGTTTTAAAAACCTTGAGGGGAAACCCGAAAGGGAATGTCCAAAGAGGACAATATCTGCTAGCGGTAGGCTTGGGCCGTTACATCACGCATGCCATTCTTATCTTTATTTTGTTGAAAACAACTATGTTTGAAATTTACAACATACAGTTAATCATGTCTATGGAATCATGAAGATACAAATGCCACTTCCGTTACTGGAAGATGCCTCATCCATAACTTTCACCTTTCATTTTAAAGCAACTGTTTTGCACTAATGAAGCTTTGTCGATGCATGACTTTTCAATGAAAACAGGGCCCGGAGATTCGAACTGGATTTCTGAAAGACGGAAAACCCATCCAACTAACACAAGGACAGGAGATAACTATATCTACCGACTACAGCTTGAAGGGTGATGAGAATATGATATGTATGAGCTACAAAAAGTTAGCTGAGGATGTAAAGCCAGGGAGTGTAATACTTTGTTCAGATGGAACAATCTCATTTTCAGTTCTATCTTGTGATAAAGAATCAGGTTTGGTACGATGTCGCTGTGAGAACTCTGCAGTTCTTGGTGAAAGAAAAAATGTTAACCTGCCTGGAGTTATAGTGGATCTCCCTACCCTAACAGAGAAAGATAAGGAAGATATACTACAATGGGGGGTTCCTAATAACATTGATATGATTGCTCTATCTTTCGTTCGGAAAGGTTCTGATCTTGTGGAGGTCCGGAAGTTGCTTGGAAAGCATGCCAAGAGTATTCTCCTCATGTCTAAGGTACATTCAGTTACATCTGTCGAAATATGTTTCTAATTACTGAGAATTTAGCCTTTTCTGGTGATTCTCAGCACAAATGTTTTGAGATTGCTTCTTTTATGCACCATAAATCTCTTACAAAAAGCAATTTCAGCCCTGTGATCTTTCTGGAATTTGACTCACAGGTTGAGAATCAAGAAGGTGTGGCAAATTTTGACGACATACTAGCCAATTCAGATGCGTTTATGGTGGCACGTGGTGACTTGGGAATGGAAATTCCGATTGAGAAGATATTTCTGGCGCAGAAAGTGATGATATACAAGTGCAACATCCAGGGAAAACCTGTTGTCACAGCTACACAGATGTTGGAATCGATGATTAAATCTCCAAGACCAACTAGAGCCGAAGCCACCGATGTTGCGAATGCTGTTCTCGATGGAACCGATTGCGTTATGCTAAGTGGTGAAACAGCTGCCGGAGCATATCCTGAACTTGCTGTTAGAACAATGGCAAAAATATGTGTTGAAGCTGAAAGCACCCTTAATTATGGAGATGTCTTTAAAAGAATTATGGAACACTCCCCAGTTCCCATGAGCCCATTAGAAAGCCTTGCTTCTTCTGCTGTTAGGACTGCAAACTCTGCCAAGGCAGCTCTTATCCTTGTCCTAACCAGAGGAGGAAGCACAGCAAAATTGGTGGCCAAGTATAGACCCGGAACACCCATCTTGTCCGTGGTCGTCCCCGAGATTAAGACAGATTCATTCGATTGGTCGTGCAGCGATGAAGCTCCAGCAAGGCATAGCTTAATCTTTCGTGGCTTGGTGCCGGTTCTTAGCACAGCATCGGCAAGGTCGTCTCATGCCGAGACAACAGAAGAAGCAATAGAGTTCGCTATTCAGCATGCTAAGTTGAAGGGCCTCTGCAAGAATGGAGATTCTGTCGTGGCGCTTCATCGCGTCGGAACAGCATCTGTGATCAAGATTTTGACTGTGAAGTAGTAGGAATCACGCTCTTGGAAGTTTATTTTTTTGCCATTTACCAAGAGCACAGGTTAATTCGAATAATTGCTCTTGATTTTCTTCATTGTTTTTGGGTTCATCGTTGAAACCACCTCTTTAACATACACCTCTGGTGATAAGCATTTTTGGAATGCTTCCATATTTCTTTTTATGATGTAGACACTGTCCATTTACTGGAAACCAGGCAGTTCATTTGCTTTGAAATAATTATGTTATGTTCATCAATTAATTGGAGCCTTTTGCCAGGCCTCTCTCTTGGAGGTAGAAAGGAGGATGCCTCCCGTTTTCGTTGGACTACCGCTGTACGCCACTAGCTACTCGTTGTGTATCGCCATCAGTCTCACGATTTTAAAACATGTTTATTAGGGAGAGCAAGTACACTAGTAGTAAATATTGTCTTCTAGCACGTTGACGGCCTTACGGTTTTAAAATGCGTCTACTAGAGAGATCTAGTACTAGTAAATATTGTCTTCTAGCACTTTAACGGCTTTACGGTTTTAAAATGTGTCTACTAGAGAGATCTAGTACACCACTAGCGACGGCCTACACCATTAAGGCCTA